TGTTTTTTGCACTTGTTTTACCTATTCTTTGTTTATCGATTGTTTTTCTTAGCTCTTAACATGCTAATCCGATTTTGTGGCATGCAAATTGATATAAAGTTTTTAATTTTCTTGTGAATGATGAACTAGACATTATCCAAATTGAGAAGTCATAGCTGCGACGGTTGGGGCATATGTTGCGAATGCCTCCAGAAGAGAAGGCTAAGCAACTGTTTTTTGTCAACCCGGCCAGCAGAAGGTCCAGCTTGCAGCAAAAATTAACCCGGTACAAATATATGGAAGTAGTCTGTTCCAGACATCAGTTGTCTTTTTGCGAAGTTCTGGAACAGGATCGGAAACGTTGGAAGTTCTGTCTGACGCGTCTGCCTCCAGGATTCGAAAGAGAAGCGACTATAGATGATGAAGATGAATTTTCTTCTGAAAAATAGAGTTATTTAGCGGTCCCGTTCAAGCAGTCGACTTTCATTCAGTTATTAATTTTTGCCCTAACTGGTTGCAATTTTGATCCTTTGATCCGGTGGTGGCAGTGATTCACACGCGAAGGCACCGTAGATTGCTATGTTATGAACCTTGCTGTGCATCTTCCCCAAACATTCATTTGAAAACAAAATCCAAAAGTCGTTTCTTCCACTTGTATGATGAATCACACTTTTTCCTCGTGGTCCAGCGCTCATGGTCACAAACGAGCTTGAGACGTAGACAAGCTCTTAAATGTTGAAGTCAGTTGGACATTCGTGTCGACCATGTTATTCACACAAAGAACTGCTTTTGTGATACCTGCTTTCTGTTTAAATAATGCTTTTCTTGAGTTTGCGACATGGGTTGAGCATGTTCAAATAGGTGTTGAAAGAGATATCGATTCGTTGCCTCCTTTGATAACAGTTAATGACCCTCCAATTTCGATCAATGCTTCAAGGAAACAATATATTTAGTAACTAGTTTCAGAATTGCTATAATAAACTGAACTATTATATCTTTATTTACTACTCACAGTTCCGTGCTCAGTGTTCACGAGGCTGGAAGAGGATTCTTAATTTTTAATTCACAAGCCCCAAACTTCCTTGCAATGGTGTAACAGTTTCTTATACAGTATACTGCTATATATTCTAGAAAGAAAGCAATCGTACGATGAGCAAATGACATATCGAGATGGACACGATAATCACCCATGTGTTGGGCAATTTATTGCCTTGCTCCTGCTGTTAACTTTCATTATGCGACAATTTGAATATTCAGTTCTTGAGCAAGCAGCTGCTTTTTACTGGAAGGAGTATTTTTTTAAACTTCGACCTCCAAAATACAAGCAATGAGTGCCGGCATATAGGTTAGTTATAATGGCGTAGAAAATCTGTTAGAGGCAGTACATTTTCCCTATCTTACTTTCGCCAAATATATTGTTAAAGTGAGAAATACGCGCAGTCAATTAAAGTAAAAATATTAGTACGAAG